AATCATGTAAAACAGCTAGATGTCTTATAAGGAAAATATATTGTTTACAACTAACGATGATCTAAAGTTGACCTGAAGTCAGTCAATATTAATGATTTGCTTCCAGTCGTTTCAAGACTTTTGCAACTCTAACTAATTAGTGAATTTGTATAACTGTTTAAGTAGGCTACTTAGTTGCAGCTAATTGCAGTGATCAGAATCTCCTCTGCAGCTGAGGTTAAAAAATACATTTCAGAATTATTTCAGATTTTATTCTGTGTAAAAATAATAAACAGGAAATACAAGCTTATGATATTTAACGATATATTGAAGCATGATTTAATCTGTACAAAATACTTAATATAGACTCTGTATGTTATAGATGCTAATATATATTAGCTAGTGTAATAAAATGAGAACATCTGCTGTATAAGCTTATTTTATTCTAGAGTTCTTGTTAGATTACATCCATGAAGGTAAATAAGATCAAATTTGTTTACTCCAGAAATGAAACATTTTTATTCTTTCTATTCATCCATAGCACAGCTTCATGACATTTTTACACGTTGTAAAACTTATACACATTATAATTTTATTATATTATTTTAGCCAAGTGGAAAAGTATGGTTCCCTGGTGGCCACCAGAGGGCACTGTGKGTAAAGGAGCCCTGAGCTTTGCAGGCTTGTAGCAGGATGTGATGAAAAGGGAAAACCGGAAGTAGCAGCCTTGTGCAGTTTCCTGTCACATGCTCATGTGGCTAACGATTTTGTGCTGTCTTTAAAGAAGGTAAATCTACCTGGAATTTCATTTTTATTACGAAATATTCTGTGGATCTGTTTCTAAAAAATGTATAGGAAAGGGGGAAATGATGTTTGTCCTTAGTAGTGATTTAATGGGTCTGATGTTTGCAGATTACTGTGGGAAAATGGCTCTGTACGGAGCCCGCGGGGGGTCAGTGGGAGAAAAAAAAAAAACAGCCGCTGGAAATCCGTGAGCACGGATTACTAAACTGAGCGAACGGATTACTAAACTGA